CTGTCATCTTGTTTACTTACATATCGGCCATGTGAATTTCATACACAGGTATATGATAAACTTCTACACTGTGATATAGGACTATTGAATTACTTGTGCAGCGAATTTTATTGTGATTATCGTACAAATTAGTTACCCAATTTCTACGGGCTCGTATTTGGTTCATATTTTGACAATGATCAAAAGTATGTCTAGATTTTTAAGATGGAAAACTGAATTTATCTGCGTTAAATCTTCCACAAATCCTATATTGAGACACAATTACACTAATGTTTATCACTTTATATCTGTAATTTCGAACTGAAACATAATTATTTAATATTAAATAGAGGAATAAATGTTTGCCCAATATGGCGGGTGGTTGTGTACAATCATGGCATCGTCCATGTTGTCTTTAGGTTATTAGAATATTTTGGTCTAGTCTGCAGGTGTTATAAAACAATTTGACAAATGTCTGAAATGAAATACCGACAGAGTCGAATGATTTACCCAGAATTTGTACCTGTTTGAACAGTTGATAAAACCTTTTGAACCAATATGCATGCGTTGTTTGTCTTAAAACATTGATTATGGCATTTTACAAAAATATGACAGCAGAAAGTTAGGTTATGGTGAAGTTGTTTACCAACATATTTAGCATATGTACAGCTTTTAACAGTTACTAAACAACAGTTGTATAAGTGCTTCCGTTGGGAGCAATTTGTTGGCTAAAGTAGAAAATTGCACAGCAAAACAACAAGGCTCGGGTTTGTTTTAAAAACGTTACCATGGATGTCACAACACAGCCATTTTGACTAACGTGCAAATATGCCGTATAAAATAGTTGTATAAACGTTTATGCAACAGTTAAAAATTTGCTCTATAAGGTGTCCTATAAATATGCTATAAGAATATTTTAAACACTACATTTTAGAGCAAATATGTTGCAGAAAGCAAATCACATAATACTATACAAATAAGAAAATGGTCCATTTTAAGTATAGTAAAAGCCAAATACTATTGCATTCACAAATTCTGAAGAGAGTGTTCGCTAATCTTACCCCAAAATTGAAATGAAATTGCAAGTTTTCCAAAGTCTACGACGAGCAATGCCACGTGTGCTGCCAGATTGAATGCTAGATATCATTAATAACCTATACGAACATACGAGGGTCGATCAAAATGTGGGGTTCCCAAAGAGTTCAAACAACAATGGAAGGTGCTTTCTTATGGATTGTTTGATGAGTGCACTCGTCACACCACAGAAAGGCTTTCAATCGCACGTTGCCGGGTCAGCTGATCTGGATTCTAATTTCCTTTGTGCCATTCATGGCTTGGTATCCAGAGCAATGTTACCTTGTTTCGATTACTCAGCCTTTTTATATGGTATTTGCGATGAACTCAATGCCCTTTTGTTATCATTGTTTACCTATGGAGAAAAAAATTACTCTAAATGAGGTATTGCGATCAATAATGGTGATTTCTCCGGTTAGTAGTGGAAAAAAATGCAGCACGCAAGAGCTGACAGATAAAAAATGACATAAACCTTCTGCTAAAAATAAATAGTCCTCTTTTAGATGTCCTAATATTTCAAAATAAAATAAATATAAAAGGGAAGATTAATGATACCCCATTCTGTGGAACTTCTTTTGTTTATATTGGGCGAATTAATCTTGCTCCGTAAAAAAATTCAATAATATTTTACTCTTCTTTTGGATGTCGGCTCGACTCCGGTTACCAGTTGTAATTAATTTTTCGTGCTTTTTTCGGGGAAACAGATAGCAGGCGTTCCGTAAATGTACGACACAAGGCGTAATATTATATTTTTATACCATTTTAGTAGTTTGTTATACTCACTAGAAATAAAACTAAGAATGGACCTTTTTGAGACAATGAGTTGAACTTGTAATCACTATGAAAAAATTGTGCCCACTGTATTTACTCTGTCCGTAGCTCGATTTCCGAGTGATAATAGCGAATTTAATGTGAGTTATATTATAAAATGAGAGGCTTTGATGAATCACCCTGTATTATAATCAAATCAATCAGAAAAAAACGAATCATAATAAAAATTCGATTACATCACCCTGGAGTGGAACGGACCCACAGGGCAGAAGATAACGATATCGGCAGGAGGGACCCGAATCAATTTTAATTAAAGAAATGGTATAAATTTAACAAGGCCCGCTTAAGGGACGAGGACACGAAGATTCAGCGTTTATTTCGGAGAAATGCTTATTAGCAGCAAAGTAATGGTTATTTTATACGATAAGACGGCTCCCAAGTTGTTACCCAATCGGGATTTTTATGAGACTACACGTGTTTCAGATGAGCGCCGAGTCGGAAGGAAGTAGAAAAGTGTGAAAGATAGTCTAATGGCAAGTCTAGGCTAAGCCGTTTGAAGCTTATCTCAGCCCAAAGGAGTAAGAGATCAATGCTCTGTAATAATTTCGTCCTGGCTTTCGCAGAGTGTCACGTGACATAGGAATATGTTCTGACACTAAACTAAGTTGTAACAGTTGCCTTTTATTGCCGATGAATCATATATTTTTTTTTTAATTTGAAGTAGTGCAGCAAGAACTTGAGAAGGAAGAAATAAAAGCCGATAATCTAATCTAATAATCTCCGTAGCATATTATTTTTATTCATAGCATATTATTAAATCAATTTTATTGAGAAAAATGACTAGACCGGCCCATTGGCCATTTCCCAAGATAGGGTTTGTTTTTAACGGTGTATTTAGCTATATTTTTCTCACGTAATTCATAACCAAAATAAATAACACGCATTTACCTATTATCATGTTTATTTGAAATAACAAACATAACACATGAATACCACGGAATAACTATAATTTTTAATTTGTATCCGTTGTTTTTCTTCTGTAGTCGTTTGGCTGCCTGTATATAGTAGTCAGCATCGTCCATGTCACTGAACAATTTGGGAACTGAAACCAAATATTTTTCAATCAATTAAACATAATCCATCCTGATCTATACTAAGTGACATATAAATCCGAACACCCAGTTTAAATGGTTTTATTTTAATAAAATTTTGTATAAGTACTTAATGAAGCATAATAAGTAAATGATGAAAATTTCAAAATGATTGCACTGCTTTAAAGCCCTTTGACCTTTAATAATGTGTGGATGCACCCTGATGTGCTACGCATTCTCCAACGCGCCTAGGCATGCTTCTGATCAGGTGGTCAATGTCCTCCTGTGGTATCCCATTCCAGGCAACCACCAACTCCTCTCGAAGTGCTTCTAGAGTCTGAGGAGGACGTTGCAAATTGAGCAATCTCCTACCCATCATATCCCACACGTGCTCAATTGGGGATAAGTCGGGAGATCTTGGTGGCCATGGTAACAATGTGACATCATTATGTTGAAAGAAGTCTATTGTGACTCTTGCAACATGTGGTCGGGCATTATCTTGTTGGAAAGTTGGATCTGCCAGGGTGTCAAGATAGGGTAAAAGATGGGGTTCTAAAACTTCGTGGATATAACGCTGCGCTGATGAAGATTAAAGGTGACCTGAAACCATAAGCTATAGCACCCCAAACCATAACTCCAACAGTGTGATGAACATGTCTTTCAACAAAAAACTGTGGATTCCTCCTTTCACCACGTCGCCTCCTAACCCTGGCACGACCATCGTGCATGCCTAAACAAAATCGAGACTCGTCACTAAAGACAATACTGTTCCATTCCTGATCCCAGAGTGACCGTTGTCTGCACCACTCAAGGCGATTACGTCGGTGTTCTCGAGTTAAAGGGAGGACCCAGTGTGGCCGGTATGAAAACAAGCCAAGACGGTAAACACTTCGCATGCCAATAGGTCTTCCGTGTTCTGCAAACCATTCATTTGCAATGGACCTGGTAGTGGAGAAACGGTCCCTTAAGGCCAATAATCTTAGGCGGCGATCTTCACGGTCTGTTGTTCTACGGCGGCGTCCAGTGCCCCTTGCTCTTTGCGTACGGCCTTCTCGAAGCCATGCCTGACAACACCTAACCACAGTGTCTACACTTCTTTGCACTCTAACTGCAATTGCCCGAAAAGAAAGTCCAGCTTCCCGAAGTCCCACTATACGGCCCCTATCAAACTCACTAAGTTGACGAAATCGTACAGGTCTCCGTACTCTAGGCATCGTAACCGATCGTAAAGGATGTCAAGAACCAAAATCCGCGAACGTTGATTATTTACTGCGGCTGAAATACTCATTTTTAGAGCGTTAGTGAATTAAAAAAATTCAGTATAAAAACCGGAATGTCCAACTGATTAGGCTGAAAATTTTTTCACTTGTTATTTACAGTAAGATAAATACATTCACCAACTTTTATTAAAATAAAACCATTTAAACTGGGTGTTCGGATTTATATGTCACTTAGTAGTAAGTTTATAAATGTGTAGTCAATTTTCCATGCATTCAGGTAATTAATTGAAGAATTTTCTCACCCTGATTTGGACAATTTCTTCTTGTATTGCCTAGTAATGTCCCTGGTTCACCATGAGTAATAATTTTAGTATTCATCTCCACATATTTTCATAAATAACTCGGTTGCTTCCATCCCATGCTAGATCTTCCACCGTCAAGAGATCAATTCAATCTCGAAATTTTCGCCTCGGGGATTTGTTTACATCCCAACAACAATCCGGTTTGTCACTCCGGAGCTAAAAATAAATAAATAAATAAATGTACATCTATAAATTGATATCACCTTCTGAATTAAAAACTATTTGTGTTGCATAAATATTATTACTCACCTATTGAACTATGTATTTCTTTTATAGTCAGATGAATTTATTATTGTTTTCTGAAATCTTCCAATGTCAAAGGCTGATGTCGCTGATGTCGAGGTACTATTCTGCGTACCGAACTACTTGCACACCTCGCTTGTTCCGCATAGTTGCCAATTTTATTTCAGAATTTCCTTATGTTTATTAATCAATCAAATTTATATGCACATATGACAGTGTATGCCACATCTATTCACGATATTTCCTTGAATTTATATTAGGAACCTTCCCATTTTGGGATTAGCCGACAACGTTTGGCTCTTAATGGTCAGGCGTACAACTATATTTGGAAATGTCAAGTCGAAAAAATTAAATTTTGGGAGGGGACTTCCTTCCATGGAGGGCCATCTTGTTCTGTTCCGCTAGTGCCAGAAGACCTGAAATTTTCCTCCTTTTTTTGCCTGGAGCATCTTCGTTGGATTGTGGAACAAAATTTCATAGATAATTTCCTGGGTCATTCCTGTTGTGAGTGCGTAGCATCTTTATTTTGTCTACCCTTGGACCCGAGAAATTCTACAATTTGTAGGATCTTATTGTCTTCAGCCGCACTTTTCGCCAGAGGGAACCACGTGAAAAACCCTACCCGACATCATGTAGGGTTTTTATTTTGGGTGAATCTTCGCTACTGGAGATCCATTGACACGTTTTCTACCGGGGACCTCTTTCCGAACAGAGACCCTTTTTCCATCATAGGGATTCTTACGTCATCTGTTATGAAGCCTTCCTCGCCCATTTTAATAAGCTTTCGCATTAAGGGAGATCTCCTAGTTTGGCTCGCTTAAATTTTTGTTGTTAGCCGTTAGTAGATGTAATAAAATGTATTGATGTTAATTTTAGCAATTATTTACCCACACAGAAAATCTATTGTTTGTATGTATTTTTGTTTTTGTTTTGGGCTAAAGAGTGCCTTTCAACACCAAGGCATCTTCCAGTTGTGGCGGCTAAAAGCTGGTGGCGCCCCTAAAAAATACCCCCCCTACTCACCGGTGTACCTGAGCATGGAGCCTAATTTGCCAACGCTAAACCACGGCTTTAGCCTCAGTAACCCCCTAGTTTTTTTTTAATCATCCATTGCCTCAATTGAGAGAAATAACTTTAGCTTAAAATTAAAAAGTGATCCTAATTAAAAAAAAAGAGCGTGGCAAAGTAATGTAATATTTTGCGTAGAGTCCAAAGATTTACTGTTTTCATGAAGTTATGAAGTAACTATTGTTCGACTGGATCTATTCGACGACATCTCTCTTTTGTATGGCTCCTTGGTTGGGGCCTGCATTGGAACCGAGAAAACTAGGATCAAACTCAATTAAACGCGATATCTGTGATCACAGCCGACGTCAACTACGAGCCGTGAACAAAGAAATCTGGCAACGTAGGTGGTAGTGTTACTCCCGCTCGTGCTCAAAACGCTGAGAAAACATAACTTTTTCAATTTGTGATTTGGGAATCGCAGAGGCTGTAATTAAGAGATAAGCTTGTTTTCTAAGCTTCAAAGTGTGTGTATGTGTTCAAAGTGATCGGTGACTATAATATATGAGAAATAGACTCCAGTTGTAGTGCTTCTGTGCTTTAAAAATAAACTAAGAAGTGTGACTGTGGCTGTTCGCGCCTCAGGACGCTAAGGATTTCAACTATTGAAAACGTGCAAATTCAGGTTGTATTTTTCTTTTTTCATTTATCAAGTATTTGACGCAGACAATATGCCTCGTTGCTGTGTTCCTTTATGCAATGCAAACTATAATTCTGCTTTGAAAACAGAAAGCTATGTTTCAACTTTTCGCTTCCCAAGTACCGAAAGTCTGAAAAACAAATGGCTTATGGCAATTCCCAGAAAAAATTGGACACCTTCAAAATATTCAGCTGTGTGCAGTCGTCATTTTAGAGAATCGGATATCATCAGGACAAAAAATATAGTTTTGGCGGATGGAACAGTCCAAAATAATATACCTTTGAAATATCCAAAATTGAAAGAAAATACTGTTCCCTCCATTTTCCCAAACTTGCCATCATATCTTTCAAAAACTGAAGCACCCAAAAGAACTGACCCAATGCAAAGAAAACAAAAATTAATTGAGAAACATAAAAAAGCTATCCAGAATTTCGATGATATGGATAAGATCAAAGACATTCAAGAATTACATTCTTCATTTTCAAAAATTAAAGCCTCACAGAAATGGAATAATAAATTATCTGATGGAAAGCTATATTTTTATAAATTGGATTTTGAAAATGATATCTTAGCTTTGAATACACAGATTATAGTTGATGGTCAGATGGAAGTTCAGGTTGTTCATAAAGGATGTAAGCTTTCTTTTAGTGACTTGAAGTGGGTTTTGCCATATGATCTCAAAATTACCAGATGGTCCCAATTAGAAAACCTGTTAAATAGGTATTTTTTCTATTTTTCTGAGAACCAACACAAAAACTCTGTTGAAGTTTGCATCATGAATGCAACTCCACATTTTTAAGCTGGGCCTGTTGGAACACAGTATGCTGACACCAAAAAACGTAAACTAAATACTTTTAATTAGGTTAACTGCATTAGCGACTCATATATATCACGATTCCAAAATCCAGATTGAATTTGCCAGTTCCGAATCGGTTCATCACGTTGTTTGAAAAATTGAACTATGGCAGATATGATATAATTAAAACGTTTACTCGTCCTGCTGGCAGATCCAAAACGGCATTTTTGAATGCGTCAACTGCTTCTTCTGGTGACTGGAACCTTTGACCACGCAATCTTTAGGACTTAAATCGGGACTATATGGAGGATGGTCCAATAATTACACGTTTTCTTCCGTTAAATACTGCCTTGTTTTTTGAGCTGTGTGCGAGCTTGCATTGCCTTGGTGGAGGATGATTCTTCTTTCGGGGTTGATTTTTCAAAGATCGGTGATGACTTATGGCAAACAAATGGTGGTATACCAATCCGCAATAACAGTTCTTTGCTCATGAAGAGGAATTGTTGCAATATGACCCGCTTTTGACACAAATGTCGCGACCATCTTTTTCACTTCGAGAATGGATGACTTTTGTTGGCTTTTCTTCACCTTGGCACACCTGTCGTTTGTTTTCTGGTTCATAACAGTAAATCCACGATTCATCACCACTAACAATGCTTGTTTGACACCAATTAACCCTGGCTGCTTTCTGCTCTTCAGTCAACAGGTGGGGTATCCAACGAGAAACTAATGTTCTTACTCCTAATTCTTCATGTGAATTTTTTTGAATTTAGGTCTTTGAGATCTTCAAGGACGCCTCAATCTCGCGATATGTCACATGTCTATCTTCAATGATGAGTTTGCGCACAGCATCGACGTTTTCCTGGATGACGTTTTTGGTGCACCCACCCTGGGATCGTCGCTAAGACTCACCCGTCCACGTTTGAATTCTCCATACCAACGGGAAATTGTCGACTTATGTACCGAAAACAGGCAGTAACTCAGCAAGGCATTCTTGTTGCAATAATTGTCTCTGAAAGTTGTAATGAATTATGGCGCGAAAATGTTCTCGGTTGAGTTCCATTTTTCTAATGACTTGGTGACTCTTAAAAATTCACTGTAGTGAGAACACTGCACGTATTGTTGTGAAACTTTGAATTTAAGTTTACTAAAGAGTGAGGTTAAGATTCAGTACTGACGTTCGATCCGCGCGGCCTACTATGTCTCTATATGCAAAACTTGAAAGAGATCCCCCGTAGAAATGAATTGCCGCGCAAATAAAAGTACAACAAGTATATATGATGGTTATTTTTTGGCTCCTAAAGCTTCACTTGTCTTTAAGGAGAGAAATTCGCGCAAAGACAGGGACGCCTCTACGCGTCAGCTCATCTAGTTTTTATAAACATACTTACTACTTTCTAAAAGAAAATGTCCTAACTACTTGGCCTTGATGTGTATCAGATATCGCAATTAAGTTGAAACTTATGTCAAGTTCCTGATAAAGGTAACCGAAATGTAAATTTCAAACTGAAATGAAATTCAACGCATACATTTTAACGTTGCCCAGCCACCGAAACTGAAAATTTCAAATTGCCCATGACGCTGGCCAATTTCCATTTTAGTTTTTCTTTGTTTGCACATCGGCATCAATTAAACTTTATGGGCAATCGATTATATAATTTATTCGCAAACAAGCCGACAGAAATTATAACCTCATATCCCGCGCAGCATTTCAAACAAAACAAACGCATTCGGACAAAAAGCCGCTTACTTTGATAACCGTAATTGTTTATATGTCTGGCGATTATTTAAATATTCCCGGGTCAGTCGTGCAGAAATAATCGCGCGTATATCCGAGATCGCAATGTTTGATAAATATTGTTGTTATTCAAAAATATACCACCAGCTAAAAAAATGGAGATGTAATAAAAAAAGGAAAAAAAAATGGAATTACATCTTATCGGGTATATGTGCAGATAGTAAGAACGTCTGATATATGTGAAGTGAAACCCTCTGAGGTAAAAAATAGTTACAAGCATGTAAAATAGAGAAACCAAACAGGCCCACGACTAATGTTTTCTGGAAATGATCCGGAGTCTCGGAAACGTCAAAAAAGTGCCGCCGCCGATGAATAGCTTTCAAAGTCTACATAGCTTTATCGTCCAAATATACGTACAAGTAGCGCTTTCCAAATTTGGTTTGCGTGTAGACTGACGGACAGACTAACGGAGATGAGTGCCATGTTTTTTGTAATGCACTTAGATGTCACATAACATCCAAAAACGCTTATAAAAAATAGAAAACGTGTATAAATTTTTCATGTTTGTTGTTTTTTTTTATTTTACTGCTGATAAGAGCTTTGTCTTTTTTCGACTTCTGCAAACACGCACTGGGTATTTAGCACTAAATTCGGAAAGATTTGATTTCATGTCTAATTACAAGATGTCTTTGGTTTTTTGTGAAGTCAAAAGCAATTGCAAACTTTTAAAAAAAATGTTGCATAAGCCTCATATAAAAAAAAGTTTACCATAAAAACTATTTAACGATCCAGAAATATACAGGGTGTTCCATTTTAATTTTTTGAGAAAACGTACATTTTGTGTTTTGGGATACTCTGTACGAATAGAAATAGATTATAGCACTTTTCCCGGAACAGTTCAAAATTGATGATAATAAAGTATTTAATAATAATAATATTTATTCACTCAATGTACAAAGATAACAAACAATATGAGTAAATAAATATAAAATCAAAACAGGCCCAATAGAAGGCATCGCCTGTACATGGACCAATAATTTAAGTTGAAACTGTAGAATGCAAATGACAAAAAAGGACAAAAATTAGCTATAGTTGATTATGTATTTAGTTGATGTTCGGATTTATGAGTTTATGAATTTCAGTCCTAGATATAGAATGTTGCCACTTTTTTAAATTTCTTTTGAAACAATTTCCGAAACGTAAATCTTTTAAGTCTTTAGGTATAATTTCACAAAATTTAGGCGCTAAATAGAGATATGATCGCTGCATTATAGATTTATGCGGTTGAGGAACTACTGTGCCACGAATTTTGTACCTGGTATAATGATTATGTTTAATTTTTTGGTCGGTGTTTACAAATTTATGGTAGTGAGTGATACTGTGTAAGAAATAAAGCTGTCTTATATCATACATTCGAACATCTGCGTATAATTTTTCAGTGGGATAAAGTTTCGGTTTTTTAAATATCATTTTTAGAATACTTTTTTGAAAAACATCTAAATTATAGATATGTGAGGAACATGCAGCTCCCCATGCTATTATACCATATGTGAGATGAGGCTCAATCAGTGCATGGTATAAT